AGCCTTGTACGTGCTTAAGTACAATCTTTACATTCAAAATGCATGGTTAAAAAAGAATTAATTATTCAATTATTAAAATTAACATTAATATTAAAAATCATTTAAAAAATGCATATTTACATTTAAGGGTTTCAAAGTCTATAGCCATGACACAGCAGCTCTAGAGGCTCCTGCTAAAGTCTTTTCTGTCACTTCTGAACCCGCTATGGCCTCGCTGTCGTGAACTCAAGCCATACATCTGCCAATGAACTGAGCCAAGATCATTTGAAAATACATATTAGACACTGTTAATCTTCACCTTGAGATTGATAGCGAACCCTTTAGTGGCGAGCCAGAGACATTTCTCAAATTTCACACCAAAACACTGATTTGAAAACAAAATCATTTTAAAGGTTTCAAAGTTTCACGAAGTAGAGATTTAAAAGCATCCATCCTATAAAAGCACAATTTTGCTGCATTCAAATCAAATATATTTATAACAGTTTTATTGTACAGCTATGCTAAATTTGAATTGAGAAAGATGATTTTTGCAGGCAGATTCATTCTTTCGTTCATTCATTCATGTTTTGTACTGTACATAGAGCTTGAAGAAAAAAATAAATTTCTATAAAGTTCTGTACACTATACTTTGTGTCAGCTTGCCTTAGCTTTTAATGACAAAACATGGTGCTTCTAAGCTAAATCATATTTGCTGTAGCCATCTACCACTACAGAAGATCGTTGCATCTATGATGACTTCTGAAAACCCCACAGATGGGAAGAGGGTCCATTAGTCTTCGGTTGTGATCAAAAGTCACCTGTAAGATTCACACTATTATAAGGTCCTGTGTCTAAATAATATTGTCGTGGAGAGCATCAAAATAACATTTGTACCATTTATTCACTGTGCATTCATTTTAAATGATTGTTGTCAAACCATGAGTCTACAGCCAAGACACAGGAGTCGACTCTTCTGCTGTTCTCTATTATCAGGACATCATTGACAGGTCACTGTCTCCATCTGCTGGCCAGTCGTCATAAACTATTCAGGTCGATTTTAAAGACGTGACTCTTTATATTTCACTACAGACAACAGGGGCAGTGCTGTATTTGAGTGTTTGAGCGTCAAACTCGAGCTTAGATCATATTTGAGGAAAAGTCTAATAATGCAAACTAACCACACAATGGATGCAGCAATTAATGTAGTTGTTTGGACAAAATGTATTTTATATTTGGTCCATATTTCATAATTCCATTCCATTACCTATGAGCCAAAAACTTTTGGCAACCCGAAAGTGTCAAAATACTTTGTCTAAATTTAGTATTAATTGTTAAACTGTTTATACATTTAATCAGAGTGTTGTTAAAGTATTACTGAAACTATTACTCATTATTTATTTATTCGCATTATTTATTATTATCATTAATTTATTGCAGATTGCTTGTCAATCCTAAAATCAGTAGTCATGTTTGTTCTGTGTATGTATTGTCCAGCTCGAAGTATATAAGAATGAATAACCCAGAGGCAACTTTTCCCCATGCACCGGCAGCTAAGTGTTTCATGATATCAGATCAGGGTAAGTTAAACAGCACATATTCCATCATGAATCAGGTTATGAATGTGTTGAGGGAACAAAAATAAGTTGTTGTTTCTTCTTCCTCCTCTTCTTTTTCTCCCAGGAACAGCATAGAGAGTGATCAGACTTGTGTCGAAGGCTCAGGTGAGACCTGCTGACAAATCAGACCATAAACTGCATGTGAGCAGAAAGCTGATTTATATGAAAGAAAGCACTGAGGATGATGATGGTCACTGGAACACACTGGGACCGGTGAGGATCACCATCATGGTTTGTGTGGGCTGGACTCAGCAACTTAGCACTTCATTATATAGAATAGTTTTTTTCTCCACAAGTGATGAAATGAAAAGTACGAGGTGACATTGCAGTTTATAATTATCCTAACAATCATATAGTTTCTGTCATAGTAGTATATTTCTGAACATTCCTTCGGCAAATACTGTAATAATCCAGTGAGTGTTTGTTTGAGTCCTGCAACAGATGGGATGACCCACACACCATCAATCTGGGATTACAAGAAGAGACAGAAGCAATGGAGACAGACTGCATGCTTAGAAGAACTGTGGCAACATCTCCAAGACACTTGGAGAAATCTGAAATGCTGTAAAGTAAGGATATTTTCAAAAATAATGTCATATTTGATCAATTAGGGTAGAGTGGGGGAAAATGCCCCCCTGTTTTTCCCAAAATAACCACAAGATAAAGTCAAGATCAATTTGTATTGTAACTATGGACTACGTTGACGAGAGTGATGTAGAAGTTTTCACCATGAAGCTTACACTGGTGAGAAAACGGATTTCACAGTAAATGATCTCATTTTCAGCAGTAAGAAAAAAAGCGTTTTAAAGCTTGTTGTTGTGTAGAACATCACAGTTATATATTATATGAGAACAGTAGGGCCTGTACGTAGATAGAGAGTATGTGTTATTCAATAAAAATGTAATTATATTTTCAGAATGACATAATTTTTTTTTTCAAACATAGTCTGGGGGTTGAAACGCCCCCATTGAGCAATTACTGTAGTTATTCTGTTCTGAACATCAAATCCTTTGTTTCCCCATCACATGTATTCTAACTAGTTGGTTGGAAAAAATATATATATTTGGATTTTATTTAAAAAAATTGCTTCAAGTTAGCATCAGGTTACTTGCCAGTTAGCATCAGCTAACAAAATGTTTCAAATAGGCTATTATAATTTTGTAATTCATAATTATAGATTATATTATTTTTAATTTTAAGCAACAACTGTCTGTACTCTGATTTTGCTGTAAATGTTTAAAGCAAATCGCTTTGTCAGACTGGGGACCCCCCATAAGTGGCGTAAAACGCCCCCTTGGTACAAATTAAATTTTTGTTAAAAATCTAATAACATGAAAATGCTGGACATTTTTCATACTTTGTTTATAATTTATGTAATTGTCACTAAAACTATGATAACTTTTCTGAAGACATTTAACTTTTGTTTCACAGAAAGAAAAAAAATTACACAGTACTTAAAGGTATTTGTATGACCACACTTCTCCTTTAAAACAACTTATTTTTACTTTAAAGATGCATGGATCTCAACATTATTTATGCAACTGCAGTGTAAATGCAACTGAGCTGCATTAAATATGTTACCCATTGGAAATCAATGCAACCTAACGTCTCTCTCTCTCTCTCTCTCTCTCTCTCTCTCTCTCGCTCTCTCTCTCTCTCTCTGATGTGTAGCGTCTGGACTACTCCAACACACAATATATATTTTGTTAGCTAGCTTTCACAAATACTTTGTAACACCCCAGGACGCCGAACAAGACCCTGGTTTCATGGTAACCCGATACATTTACAACCTTGTGGAATGCGAGCCGGCTCTCATTCTGCTTTCTCCAGAAACAAGGGGTACAAATGCACAGGAGAAATGGACTGTTCTACTAATTAATTCATAGGAAAACCTTTTCTTTGAATGAACACACATTTTCTTCAGGCCATTGTGTGTATTATTGCTGTTTTGTATTAATCTGTTGTATTATAGACTATTTTTATTCGTGCTTACGATAAACCACTCATTCATATAACCTTACATATAGCTTGTTTAGTATCTATGAATTCGCCTTCTGATGATCTAAACAAGAATGTATATTATTTGTTGGTACGTAGGCAATATATTAGTGCCCTGTGTGTGTTTTATCATTTCGTTTAATATCCCATCAGGTCCAGATGCTTTTTTGAGTTGTAGGTTTTTGATTTTTTCTTTATCAGTTATTGGGAAATCTAATAGGTTTTGGTTATCTTTGATGGCTAATTCTAGTTGTTCCAGTTGTTTGATTGTTTGATTTTGCTTACAGTTTGTGTCTGTTTGTACTTTATTAAACAATGTTTGGAAATGACTTTCCCATATTTCTCCATTTTGTATTGCCAATTCTTCATGATCAGTTTTTTTCAGATTGTTCCAATTTTCCCAAAATTGGTTTGTGTTCACTGACTTCTCGATGATTGTCAGTTGTGTTTGGGTGTATTGTGCTTTTTTGGTTCTGAGCGTATGTTTGTATTGTTTTAGTGTTTCACTGTAAAGAAGGCGGATCTCTGCATTATTTGGATCCTTGTGTTTCTGATTTGACAATGTTCTCAGTTTTTTGCGAATAGTTTGGCAGTCTTGATCAAACCAATTTTTGCCATTTTTGGGTATTTGATTTTTTCCATTTTTTGTTTTCAATTTGAATTGTTTTGCTGATTTTTCAAATATGTAATTTATATATTTGACCACAAGATTGACACCCTCATTAGTGTGAGCATAGGTGCTATTTAGAAAGTTATATATCAGCGCTTGTATTTTCTCTCTCTCTCTGCGGTTACTTTATCATGAAGTCCGACCAAACAGTAGAAGATGGGAAATGCTGTACATTTTTTAATATCACAGCGTCTCGTTTCTCTTGCATACAGCAGGTGCCGCTGCTGTGCCTCAAATTTTTACTCTGGACAACAAATACGCTCCATGTATGGCGATGTCTTACCAGGTATGCATGGAATGAAATACTGTAATCATTATAGGTTAGGCTACGAAACATACGATACTTGATCAAAATGTCCTCAAGTAAAAAGGATGTGAAAACAGGTGATGCAATCAATTAATACATAGCATGCTTATTATTTCTGCAAATGATAAATGGGAATGGATTTTATGGATTAGGTGGTTTTAATTAAATACAACAGAGCACCCATATATTTTTGTAACGTTTAATCGCTGAAAGAAACCACGAGTTTTGTTGACATTATCCAGAATCTTAATGACTTATTATTATTCTGAATGACTGGTAATAATAATAACGCCGTGCATCAGAAGTGCACTGTCTTATTCCCCAGCGAGAGAGCTGTGATTAGAAATAGCCTACATGTACCAGATGTCCTCGGCGCACTTGCGCATTGGTGTCTTAGATGGACACGCCTCTTGTCTCCAGGCATCCCAAATCCTAAAGCCCAAGCGGAACGATACCGACATCATATGAATCCATTTCTAAGAGCAGGGACATGTTTCTTCAGATGAAGACCTGGCAGGCGACACACAGCTCCAGCTTCCGCGTCTGATTCCAGGGATGACATCTGGCCAGTGATGCAGTGAGGCTGAATGCATGCAGCATCATTTGTCCTAGAGACAGTGCTGAAAGGGACAGCTCGAGATTTTGGGGCTCAATAAATCCGGCCTGTTATTTGTATTGATTGACTGATTTATATTTTACTGGGTCTATGTCGTTGTTCGGTGTTCACACTCCTAACAAGAGATACATGAAATCGTATTGGAATTATAAATAAGAGGAAACAGACGCAACACGTTGTTGGCTGGTCATCAGGAGCTCAAGGTGTCGTTCAGTCTTCATTCAGTAAGTACAGAAGTGTCATTGCCTTACATGTAAAACACTTCCTTAAATAATAAGCGCACATGCCAGCATATGTCCTGACGATCCAAAACCAAAGACATACAGGCTAAAGACCCCGAAAAAAATAAATACAATTATATATTAGCATGCATACTAATATATATTTATATTTATTTATTTATTTTTTTTTTATTATTTTTTTTTTTTTTATGGGTTAACAACTAAACTTGCGCTTTTGGGGATTGTACAATTTACAAATGCACATTTACAAATCACCGTAGCCTGACTGACATTTTAACCAATTTCATGATGAGTGTTGATCTTTAGCACGTGACAAGGTACAGATGCTAAAAATAGAGGTTAATTCAGGATAACTGGGACTTTCTTTTCTTAGTCATCCCAGTGTCAAAGAAGTGGCCCAATTTGCTTGAATTTACTGAGCTGACAAAAGAAACTGTTCTTAGTTGAAAGAAAATCAAAACCTTTTTTGAACATTGTGAAAACTCATGCTTTCTCTCTCTCTCTCTCTCTCTCTATATATATATATATATAATATAAAGTTGGTAAAAATTAGATTGATTTTTTTTGGATGTTCAGAAAATGTAGTTTTTATAACTTCATTTTATTCAGAGAGAAAAATAAAGTAGCCTTAGGCACCTGATGTCATCATTGTTGTGTGAATCTTAACAGGTGTGTTTGTGTCATCTGATGCACAGATGTATGCAGGCCAGCATGAAAAAAAAATGTCTTACGGAAACATCTTTAACTTGTGATGTGAAAGCAGCTCATTCAGGAATTCAAGCACAAAAGAAATAGTACAATTTACAAATGCACATTTACAAATCACCGTAGCCTGACTGACATTTTAACCAATTTCATGATGAGTGTTGATCTTTAGCACGTGACAAGGTACAGATGCTAAAAATAGAGGTTAATTCAGGATAACTGGGACTTTCTTTTCTTAGTCATCCCAGTGTCAAAGAAGTGGCCCAATTTGCTTGAATTTACTGAGCTGACAAAAGAAACTGTTCTTAGTTGAAAGAAAATCAAAACCTTTTTGAACATTGTGAAAACTCATGCTTTCTCTCTCTCTCTCTCTCTCTCTCTCTCTCTCTCTCTATATATATATATATAATATAAAGTTGGTAAAAATTAGATTGATTTTTTTTGGATGTTCAGAAAATGTAGTTTTTATAACTTCATTTTATTCAGAGAGAAAAATAAAGTAGCCTTAGGCACCTGATGTCATCATTGTTGTGTGAATCTTAACAGGTGTGTTTGTGTCATCTGATGCACAGATGTATGCAGGCCAGCATGAAAAAAAAATGTCTTACGGAAACATCTTTAACTTGTGATGTGAAAGCAGCTCATTCAGGAATTCAAGCACAAAAGAAATAATAAAAAAGAAAGAAATAGGGCACAATCAAAAGGCCATGTTTGAGGTTTAGTGAGTTTCTTAAGCTCTAAAACATGGTGTAGACATTAGGGTATGTCATAAACCGCTTCTTTGTCTTGTTTGCTAATTTCAGTAGCCTACTCTATGACCAAAACATGTCAGCAAATATGTGAATGATCTCACTGCACATGCATTCAGTTGCACAGGTAAGGCAACTTGTTCTATGTGAGTTCTGCTTTGACACTGAGACAATGTCTTAAAATTCTGCATTGCTAAAATAGTCACTTTGTTACTTGTAAACTCTTAGCAAGCATGTCAAATAACTATGGCTCCAAATGAACAAGGTCTCATTCGCTACACAAATGTGCATAACAGACTTTGCAAAGGCCCAATGTTAAGTGAAAGCCTCTTAATTAAGACCCAATCAATGCTTTCCTTGGGTTTTGGGTTTCAGGAGACTAATGATAATAGCTTAGAGGTAACGGTACACCCCAGTCTGAAGGGCTGAGTTTTTAGACTTTAATCTGAATCTCTAAAAGAAATCAAACAGTGCAGGCATTTAAAAGCAGAGGAGCCTGGAATATTTCAGAGAATTCAATTTCACACTCATTATTTTGTTCATTTTGAAACGTCTCAAAGAAAATGTGATTACCTTTTACCAAGTCTACACCAGATAAGACTATCACGTTGCATCAAAAGTAAACCCATCATAATCAATGAAGTTGTCTATACTGGAGTCCCGAAAGAAAACAGACGCCCGTTCTATTTCTGAAGGACTGCACATTTGACAACAGGACATATAGATTTGAAATGTGTGCACTGATGCATCCATACAGGCTTAAGACATTGCATTGAATTGCTTAAATAGATTTGCCCAGCAGTGACTATGTAGCTGTGAAAGTTGTTTTTAAGGGGTGTTGATAAGTTGCTAAGGTGTTCAGGTTGGTTGCTAGGGCAATGGTAAGCAGTTGCTTACTGGCCCAGGTCAAAATTGTCTGCTTCCAGAATTGTGTACTTTCAGACATTTTTCATTCGTCCAGTATTTTTAATCAGACAAATGCAGCCTTGTTGAGCATAAGAGACTTCTTTCAAAACCATTCAAACATCTTACAAAACCTAAACTACAGTAAAGATGTAAAATGTAAAATAAAGTGCAACCAACCACATACCGATGTTTTATTTTGGATATGTTTTAGATCCCTTAATCCTACCCCTCAACATATTGTAACAACTGCATTACTAACTATTAATAAGCAGCCAATTAGGAGTTTATTGAGGGAAAAGTCGTGTCACCAGATTGTCTTCTTGAACGAATCTGTCAAGCATGTCTTTGTTAACAATCCCTATTTAATTAGAATTAAATTAAAGGTGTCTTTGTTACAGTGTAATTATAGCCTATGTTTAAATACTGATTAATATTAACTAACTACATGTACTGGTTAGGGTAAGGATTAGGGTTTGGTTTAGGGTACACTGTAAAAAATAAGTGTAATTTTAACTGTAAAATTTTGTAAAAATGATACGGAAAAAAACCCTGTTAATAGGTTAACAGTAAGTTCCCGTACTATATACAGGGAAAAACTGTAAAAGATCTAACCAGACATTTCATGTAATCTTACAGTAAAATGCTGTTAATTGTACAGTTTTAGAAGTAACAAAATAACAAATCAATGTATAATTTACAGTCAAAACCTGTAAACTGATATTCCCAGAACTCCCTGCATGACACTCCACATTTGAAAGTATTTTGTTTAAATAATCATGTTTTTTTTTTTTTTGTTTTTGTTATTAGTTATGTATATTTGGGCTTTATGTTACATCTTCTGTTGTTTAATGAGAGTTTAATGCATTATTTAAGTATCATATGTGTTACCATGATGGTGTTTTGTGTTTGTATGAATGACTCTGTGCACCTTCTATATATTAGCGTGTACTTCTGCTTGTGGCGAAGCTACTTGTGATGAGCTTTGATTCTTCATGTGGCTTTCTCTTTTACCACCTGCATTATTATGGTGGTTGTCAGTATGTTAAAGGTACAACACAGATTTTAATAGCAGAGTGCGTTATTGAATTTACTGGTTTACATTAAAATGTTCCTGTTTGTAAATTACAGTTTTATACTGTAAAATGTTATTTTTTTTGGCCGTAAATGTGTTTACAGTTTTTCTGTATTTTTTTACAAAATTATTCTGGCAACCACAGCTGCCAAAATTATTTTGTAAAAACTACTGAATTCTAGTTATTACCTAGTTATTGTAATTACCATAATAAGTACATAGTATGTACATGAGGAACAGGACTGTAAAATAAAGTGCCCCCATGTGGTTTATAAATACCAATAAACAGCCAACATGCTAGCAATATGCATGCTAATAAGCAACACGTTCTGTCAGGACCACTATCATCAAAGATGATTGATTATTAGCATACAGTTTGGATTGGCGGTATGGTTCCGTTCTGGGCAAGAACTCCCTGAGGATCCATGCAGGGTAAACAGAACAGAACCAAGAAGGCTGAATCCTGACTGACAGAGGAGGAGCTGGGGATGGAGGAGGGTAATTAGCTATTGAGCAATGCGAACACTGCTGATAATACTGAGGGACCTTATATATGAATGCTTAGATAGGTGTCGTATTTCCATAGGTTGATGGGGATCAGCTGAACGTCAGCTGATGCAAGCTTGACTAACGTGACCTGCCAGAACTAACGCTATGCTAGATTTAATTGCGAGAATAGGTCCTTAAAATAAAGTGTTACCGACAATCTTTCATCATGTATTTATAATTTGTACAGATCTTGAACAGGCCAAGGACAGTTGATCATGTAGTCTAGTTGCTATTCATCATGACTGGAGCTTTTCAGTGGTTTGTTGAGGCCTGTTAAATCAGTTATTCCTGAGGGAAGTTCATTCTGGTGCCACTGCAGCCCTGGACAGCCGAGCAGATGCTCAACAACATTTGTGATCAAATCTGAGATTACAGCCCGTTTACTTGAGCTGTGAGATTCTTTTCAGTACTAGTTAGCCCTATTTTATTGCATGTTGATTTTTATATTGTTAGGGAATTTGGTAACACTTTCTATGAAGCCCATATTTATAATACGTTATAAGGGTATTCTTAAGGCATTATAATGAATGCATAATGCATTATAAAAATAACCTTATATGTTGTATCATGTTATAAATAATCATAACAACAATTATAATACATTATAATGCTTACGCATTTGTGGTTATAACTTTTAAGATTATGATTATTTATAACACACAATGAACACCATATTAAATCGACTTTTGCATGTATAATGGACTGTATGTCTTGACATTGTTTATTTAAGATCTGCACAGTATCTTACTACATCTTGTAAGTGGTTAGGTGTTGAGTGTTATTTGAATGTTCCCTGTGAGGCTAATATTCATTTTAATGTGAGCTAGTTAATAATTTCAACTGAAAAAAAAAATGCAATGTTTATATGTTAAGTTACATTTAACTTTGATGGTCTCCTTAGTCTATTGACTATAGGCAACTTTGCAACTGCATGTCAACTAACTCTCATTAGAGTATTAGTAGGCTTAGGTTAAAGTTAGGGTTGGTAGAATGTTGACGTACTTGCAAAGTTAGTTATAGTCAGTTTGTCTGTTGGGGAACCATCAAAATATAGAGTTAGCATATATTTAGCAGACATGCTACTAATACGCCAATGACTGCTAGTTGACATGTAGAGTTCCTTATTTGTGTATAGCGCTACATTTGGGACGCAGCTATTTTGTATTGTCAAATATATTTAAGAATGTTCGTTCCATCAGCGGCGATCGCCTCATGGGCAGCATGCCGACGTTATTGTTATAGTATTAAATATTATAATTATATCTCTCACATTTTGCAATGATTTCAAAGTAAAAAGTCCAGTAAATGGCGTTAAAGGCGCATTTGAAACAGATGAATGTGAAATCTGGCACCTTTTTAAACTGTTAGTTGTTGAATGTATCCCAGCAGTTTGGAAATCAAAGTGCCATGAGTGGCGCTAAAAGGTTTATGCTGTACCGGGTGAGCTACCGAGCAAGTTTACTACATCAGAAAAGCTGTACATATGGAGCTGGTTATGTGATGCAAGTATCGAAATGTATTCATTTACAAATGCACTTTGGAGTACTATGGTAAAAGTGGTAATCTGCTCAAATCTGCACTTGTAATTTGAATTTATGTGAAAAGGAATAAAGCTTGTTGGTGTACCACAGTCTCTAGTGGTAATTTCAGCTGGAAACTGTAATTAATTTTATAGGTACGTTTTTGGAGTTTTGCTAAAATGTAGGTATGTTAAACAGTTGAGTTACCGTTTTTGAATCGGCCTAGAAAATCACAACTTTTAATTTTCCGTCGGTCTTAGTACACAATGTAACTACAGAAGAGTCAAGTTTTAAATAGGAAAAATATAGAAACTCTTTGGTCATTTTTGAGCGAGATGCTAACAGTCTAATCAGATTCAATGATCTATGCTAAGCTACAGCAAAAAGTGCTACCGCCAGACCCGGAGATCGGCTGAATGGATTTGAAAACGGTAAAACTAAACTGTTTAACTCTAGGGGAGCTGGAAAATAAGCCTATTTTCAAAAATAGTGGAGTGTTCCTTTAACCAGAGAGAAATGGGAATGCATATTGCAAAATATGAAGTGCATTTTGAATGTTGGACACTTAATATTTATATACTTGCATACTCTATAGTCAAAAATGACCTGTTTGAGAGTGTTTTTTGCTCCGACTTTTACAATGAGTAGATAAATGACACTGAACAGAGAATCAGGGTTTACTTCAGACTTGCTTATTTTACTGATCTGACTTGGTCTCTAACTCAGTTTGATGTTTTGGTATGAATCTTTTCTAAAGGCTAAATGAATAGTGTATCTGCTCTACATAAGAGTTTTGCAAAGAAAGATCCAACCAATATTTATGCTTTTCTTGCCGTCTTTCAGTGGGATGACGTCTCAGAGTGTGTCCTGTCACATCGCCCCCTGCCCCATCTCCTGTGTCCCTCTCATCTGTCCATCTGTGGGGTCCTGACGCCAGCAGGGGCTCATGAGACGCTTTGTGTACTGTAAGGTGGTGCTGACCACCTCTCTGGTCTGGGTGCTAGTGGACGTCTTCCTGCTGCTGTACTTCAGTGAGTGCAACAAATGTGACAACAAGAAGGACCACTCACTCCTGCCTGCGCTCAGAGGTGAGTCTGACCGTTTAACAGAACACAAAGTTTTATTATTTACCTGCAGGGGTGCAGGTATCCACTCTTCATACTTTCTACCTATAGCAGCAGGAGCAGCGAGTGTGCCTTCAGTGCAGCTGGAATTGTTATAGAAGAAAGAAGGATTAAAACTAGGGCTGCCCAGACTAAAGATTTTTCTAGTCGACTAGTTGTTAATTTAAGCCAACTAATTACACGTTTATATTTATTTTAATTACTTAAATATGTACCATAATGAATATAGCTTGCTGCAAAGCACCGACAAAAGTAATGAGTATGAATATGTCAGGGAAAAGAAATAGTAAGGAGATATTTTAATTATTTATTAATAAACTAGTGCTTTCTCTTTCAGTGTCAGCTCCCAAGATAAAGCTCTGCAGTACAGTGATGCGCCTTTAGAGAGCATTTTCATATGGATTACATAATGAGAGTGTTTTTGTTTTCGATTTGAATTGGTTTGTTTTAAAGTAGACATTTCAATATCTCTGTAGATATATTTCTCATGTCATTTAGGCAAGCACCCTATACACTATGTTTTTGACGTACTTGCAAAGTTAGTTATAGTCAGTTTGTCTGTTGGGGAACCATCAAAATATAGAGTTAGCATATATTTAGCAGACATGCTACTAATACGCCAATGACTGCTAGTTGACATGTAGAGTTCCTTATCAACAGCTGTCTAAAGGGTACCATCAAAATAATCAAACTGATATTACAATAAAAATAGCTCAAAGCAAATGTTTACACATTACACATTCATCTGATCTTATGGCTGTTTGAGAAAAAAAATATTACTATTATTATTATACTTATAAGGGGTCTTTGATTGCTTTAAGTAAAGTAGCATAAGAAAGATGGCAAGATATGAGACTTATAATACATTATAACTATGAGAAATATAATCCATTGTAACTTAAGTGGATGCAACATGTTCACTGTGTGTTATAAATCATCATACTCTTAAAGGCTATAACCACAAAAAAGTTAATATTATAATACATTAAAACTGATTTTATGAATATTCATAAGATGATATAACATATTATAAAGTTTTTTATAATGCATTATGCATTCATTATAATACCTTAAGAATACCCTTTAGACCACATAGTTTTATTATCTACCTGCATGGGGTCCACTCTTCATACGTTCTACCTATTGTGCACCTGCGATAGCCTTGTGGACAGCGTGCTGACAAATACTGCTGGTGTGCTTTGGGCGTCCTGTGCAGTGTTGCCAAGTCCGCCGTTTTCCCGTGGAAGTGGGCTACTTTAACACTGTTGCCGCGGGTTGTTTTTCATGTCCGCGGGTTGAAGCTGTTTGTTATAATGTAGTTATAATGTAGTTTACTAATGTTAACACATCAAACCTTGTTGTAAAGTGTTACCTTTTAAGATATATTTCCAGTTCAACATGAGTTCACAGCTTCTGTCTTGTGCACAATAATGGATTTAAATGGGAAGTCTGTGGGGAATGACACTGAACAGGATAGCTGTAAAAATACACACTACTTCAAAATTACAGCCACAGGACTTTTATAAATAAATACTAATACTACAACTACTAATAATACAAATAATAAACACTAAATAATTTATGCAAGTGCTTTAACAAGCTGCAGTTTTCCGTTTTTAACCATCTGGAATATCTTGTCCAAATAGACTTCAATTTAAGGGTATTACTGCAAACATGGTTGTTTTTTATTTTTAAAAACTGAGGGACAAATCAAAATAATTTTCTCTGGTAAGCGACAGCACATTACAGATGCTGTCCATACTGTATTTTGAAGATTAATCATTCCTTTAATAATATTGCAGGGGAACCCCACCAAAAAAAACTTGTACTTTACCCTCCAGAAACATGATTGGGCTAGTTTGGGGCTAGTTTTGAGTAGCGATTGGGTGGGTTTTCTTGTGAAAACCTGGCAAACCTGGTTCTGAGTTTGAGATGTAATATGTTTTGCAATGTATTTAAATTGCTCTATTTTATACAAGTAATGTCTGTGAGGGCAAATGCCAACCTTGCAATGCATCGCCAAGTTTGAATGTGCCAAACACACATAACATTTGAGAGCTATGACAACATTTTCAGTAAATAATGATTTAACTACTGGTTGACAGTACAATTTTTAATCTAATAGATATCACCTTACTTCCCCAGTCCATTTTTACTCACAATTTGTACAGTGTCCCAACTTTTTTGGAATTGGGTTTATAGTATATTAAGACAATAGTTTAGTATTACAAGTTTTCTGGAATGTAATGTTTAAATATGCATTATCTAAATAAATATGCACTATTGCACATACATTGCTAGAACATTTGGTAAATCCTGGTCCAAAACCTACTAAATATTTCAGTTAAAGGTTTTTACATTAAAAAATAAGTATATTGCTTTAAAGGGAAACTTTAAACTTTAAAGGGACCCCCCCCCCCCCCCCCCCCCCCCTCACAGCACTTCTTTTGACTGTATACTATAAAAAAAAAAAGTTGCAAGTTTTACACAACATAAGAGTAATCATTCCTTTAATAGATCATAATATGGGTATATTTTTTCCGTTTATTAAAAAAAATATATTTTTTAAAAGGGAAACTTTAAATTTTAAAGGGCCCCCCCCCCCCCCACCAATGGTTCACAACACTTCTTTTGACTGTATACTATAAAAAAAAAAAGTTGCAAGTTTTACACAACATAAGAGTAATCATTCCTTTAATAGATCATAATATGGGTATATTTTTTCCGTTTATTTTCCTATTTGAGAATGAAATGACTCGTCATTGTTTTCTGATCGTGAAATCTCCTGAAGTGTGCTCACCAGCTGCTCATTTCTTACTGTTTAATTCCAGCACTATCAGATCCTCACTTCAACGCTTTGCATGGTAAACAGGTTTAACTCGTACCATAAGCTGCTTTCAGGTTTAGATGTGGTCCTCCAACCATAATCACAGTCTTTCTCGAAACCTTTAGAGCACAAGTACTGTACATCAAATGCCTTGTTATGAATTTAGATTCTATGGTCTGCCTGTTGCCTCTAATAAAGTGGACAAAACAGGAAGCCTGTGTCTGTCTGAAATACAATCTGTATCCATGCATTCAGGATTTAATAATGGCAGGAAAGCTATTAGGGTATTAAACAGTCAGGTGAGGTCTAAGCAGCCACAGTGCTGAAAGAGCAGGGCTTAGAAGCACTGCAGTCTGTCGGCTATTTACGCTAGATCATTTTTTATGAGGTCGAGCCAGTTTGAAGATCTTCTCTTATTGAGGTTATCGGCAGTGATTAGCTCAGCCCTGATGGCGAGGGGTGGTTATCTAAAGGTTAAGGACCTAACACAGAACTTGGAAGTTCGGTTTCAAGCAGGGAATTTTAATACATTTCAGTAATGCACATACAGTGCATGTACCAAAGAGCACTATAATGATTTTGGATCCATAATTGCTTGATAATTATGATCTTTATCTCTTTGCCTGATTTCTTATTACATATTAATTCTCCTAATTAGTTAGATAATTACAACGTTTAACTTCATTGGCTAGCAAATATCTTAGATATAAAATGTAATTGGCACAGTATATCTCTGATCTTCTAATATGAATATTTCCCTATTTTGCCTAATAAAATAAATGTGAAGAAGAATTCCACTTCCCCTGGCAAGCAGTGAATAGTTTATACTACTTCATAATGCAGAACATTGTGTAAACAAACAAACAAATAAATAAATAAATAAATCAGTGTTGTGAGCAAGAGCATAGGGTTTATTCTGACATTAGTGGGGATAGCAGCCTCATTTTTGCATTTATGATTGACATTTGACAGCAATTTCATGCCTTCTAAAACAGAATTTAGCTTTCTGTACCTCACAATAGAAAATCTAAAAAAGTATACATATTAAAAAAACAACAACACACACCTTATTTAGGAATTGACATTAACGTTAACATTAAGTCACTAAGGTGACTAATGTTGACAAGAACCAGACAGTTTAAAATATAATTAATTTTAAATTTATTTTGTCTAAAGTGCAATTATCCACATCTCTCATACATCAACATCAGAGTACATGTATATAATATATGGAGAGCACTTACAAATGGGGGGTGGGGGTTCAAAGACACTGTACATCATTTTATTTCATTTTAATATTGAAAATATGTTGGACCAATGAAGAGTCTGGAAAAAAAAAAGAACTCAATTTTGATGCACATAAACCGCACACTTTAATTTTGTGCATATTCAAGCTACCAGTTTACTTCATACATTAAGTTTAACAACATTAAGTTGAAGTTAATGTGTGTAAACTATCATTCAAATGAACTGTGGACATATGTTTAATCACATGTTCTTACTCTGTCCATAACGTCTTTAAAAAGACTGCAGTTTTCTAGCGTATTTTCTTTAGCTCCTAAGGTTGGGTCAGCGGTGTGATCTATTTCAGATACTACCAAAAGTACAACCGCAGTGGTTACATACAGTATAGGCTCAATTCTGGTAACACCAATTCTTACTTTTACTCACTAGTGGCTTATTAGCATGCATAGCATATTGGCTGTTTATGAGTACTCATAAAGCACATGCCTTTTTCTGCATGACAATATTTTTGACCCTTTAATCCAACCCCATACCTAAACTTAACAACTACCTTACTAACTATTAATTAGCAGCAAATTAGGAGTTTATTGAGGCAAACGTTGTAGTTAATAGTTAGTTAATACTGACAATTGGTCCCCAAACTAAAATGTGACTAGCACTGCAGTCCCTATTAATACGAGTTTGCTATATAGGGGTGTTTTAGCTGGTTTGGATGTTCTAGGTAGTTATTTACTCACTGGCCCAAGACAAAACAGCAACCTAAGCTCATTGGGAAAGTGTGCCTGTGGCATCATTTTTGCAAAATGATACTACGTTGCTTCTTGCACATCGTGCGACACTTTCAAAGTATAACATCCTGTGAGCGGAGATAAAAGTGTGTTTACTTTGATCAAAAATAGATGATCGTGAATCTGGCAACGTTTAAATAAATTCAGTCTACTTCAGTCTTCATTTCTGCTGTGCAGCACTACACTTCTTACATCTGCAGAACTCAGTCTACTGAGACAGATCTTCAGATATCCTGTCCAGGGAAGATCATTTTGCTTTTAGTCTGTTCATAACCTTTAGTTTGTTTTTAGCTTTACTATATATGCAGCCAATTGTTCTGTTATTCTCTCTTTAAATGGCTGTAGTAGATGTATCAGAGAACACAGAGACTGCGTCAAATATGATCTTATTGCTAAATAAATACCATACTGGGATCAATGCAGAAATGCAGTGGGGAATTGTTAATTGCCACATCATCAAGTATACATCACCCTCTTCCCAGACTGCATTTTAAACTGAAGATGCAACAGCTTTACATTCTAATAAAACCAAAGAAATGGTGCATAATGGACATCAATTATTTAATGCTCTTTTATACATCTTTACGAATAACTGCAGGGAATCTCTTTAAAAAGGTCAGATAGGCTCCGTTCCAAAACACAATGAGCTGCCTACATCTGCATTTCCTTTCCGAGGCAGCATCTTAAAAGCTGGAATACGTTACACGATTTTTGCCAAGACTTTTTCTCCGATTTGTAGTCTGGACGAGTCCATGCTAGATGCTGAAATTCAGAGTGAGTTTGCAGGTTTTGTACAGTCTGAGTTGACAGATTTCACAGAAAATCACGTAATGCATGATGGGTAAAGTCTCAGACTTTGATTCCATTCAGTCAGAGGATATCGAACATGTTGAGATGATTTTAAAACACAGGGCAAGTAATTAAAGAACACAGATGCTGCCAGCTCACATCCATAACGATCAACCCAATATATCAAGGACATCACAAATTAGTGCTGGGTCACAAACAAGCAGAGCCGATGATAAAATAATGTGTGTGAAATCTAACAACACAACCGCAAGGTGGGTTAAGACATGCTTTCTTTGGGGGTGTTAAATAATGGAGCAAATAACTGACAACCACAAACCTTAGTTAATCACTTTGCGTGATTCATTTAAATACTCTCCTCCTATAAATTTTGCGAAGTTGGAAAGTATTTGATGCATAGTGTTTTAAAATCTGTTTCTGCTTTTTTTAATAGTCGTGTAGTGTATTCCAGCCTTAACTTAACTTTAACCTTAACACCTTATTGACTTGGAACTAACTTTCTTCAACTATGTCTGATATCTTGGATTACTTACAGTATTTTCTTTTTTACTCAATGCGGTACATTCGAGCACAGCACATTGTCTTCTCCACAAAGGCTACAAACATTGCTAGCTTGAAATTTGTCCAAAACGTGGTGGCTTTTGCATTGGGATTGTGACTACGATGCCTTAAAATGCTGCTTATGGAGGCAGCTCAATAGGTTTTGGAACAGAACGATTGTATCCATCATGGGACAATGCTTCCAGATTTATTTCAATGAGATGATATTATGGGCTGTCCTTGTGCCCAAATGGATGCTATTTTTGGATTAAGCAGCTAAGCAAGACAGCAGTGTATGAGGGTATATCAAATCCCCCGGTGTTCTGCTTTGAAATACTGTGAAGGTTGAGGAGAGACGTTAAGAAGCAGTGCTGCAGAGTTTCATTCTTGCCGTTATTGTCTGATGAGTTGCTCTTCGTCATACTGCAGTCACAGCACTCCCGATTATATTGGCGTGTTTTGCTGCACGCTGTATCATGTGCAGTTCTCTGTCAGTATGCATAAAGCAGGGTGATTTTGCCTAAACCTGTCTATGCAGACGTCCAGGTTCACCCTGACCTCTTAACTGAGAAGCCCATCAAATCAGACAACTATTAATGTGGCCTGTGATTGGCTGTGAGTGGTTTGGATTGAACCCTCTTAACCTGATCATCCGCAGATGGATCTATGGCTCTGGGAGAGCTGAGAATATTGGTTTATACATGGAGACGGTGATAAATATAGGTGACAGAGAGCAGTCTCTAAAAATATTGTAGAATATAAATCACTTAGAATGCATCCTAGTATTGTGGCGGTGAGTTTTGCATGGGGAAAATGATGAGTTTGTATCTGTTGGTGGTTTAATTGATTAATTTGTTCTTGTGTTTAGTTTTATAAATGTTATTTCCTAGTAATCAGCTGCACGGCGGTCTGTAGAAGGTTGATAGTCCTTGAGACGATTCACACAATTTTTAGTCCTTGCAGACATGTGCTACTTTAGAGTTTTAGAAGAGCATCTTCAGTACCGAAGGGGAAACATGGGCTTAACCCTATAAAGCCTACTGTATTATATTTGAAAAATTAAATTATCAAAAGATTGTCAAAAAATTATCTGTTGTACATAATCTACATGCCTTCTGTTGACTTGCCTGATTGATAGTTTTTACTTGTTAACAAGTACAAGGCCTTTTAATATAATTCTAAAAAATATTCAGGTGGTGATGCATGTGTCTTTTTGCTGTGAAATGTTTACTGATTTTTATAAAGTAAACATAAGAATAACTTGCATATTTTTAGTGATACAGTAATACTACACTGCATTTACTACACTACAAAACTATAGAGCTTTGATCATAAAACGAAGCATTTAAATATTGTCTTACTAATATTCACATGCATTTTGATATAATGTTATACAAATGTGATCGATTTACTTTTAATAACCATCAGAATTTCATCTTACATTTTGGCCATATAAATATCATCATCTGCATCAAATTGCATATTTATGCTCACTTTGTGCCTCTGAATAAAATTGAGGTGTTTTTGTTTCCTATATCATACTATATGTGACCCTGGACCACAAAACCAGTCTTAAGTGTCAATTTTTCAAAATTGACTTTTGTTAGGATTAGACGATATTTGGCCGAGATACAACTATTTGAAAATCTGGAATCTGAGGGTGCAAAAAAATCTAAATATTGAGAAAATCATCTTTAAAGTTGTCCAAATGAAGTTCTTAGCAATACATATTACTAATCAAAAATTAAGTTTTGATATATTTACGGTAGGAAATGTACAAAATATATTCATGGAACATGATCTTTACTTAATATCCTAATGATTTTTGGCATAAAAGAAAAATCAATAATTTTGATCCATACAATGTATTTTTTGCTATTGCTACAAATATACCCCAGCGACTTAAGACTGCTTTTGTGCTCCAGGGTCACATATGAGCCATTAAAGCCTGATGTATCAAATATGATACAACACAAACACAGCAGGGGTGGCGAACTCCGGTCCTGGAGAGCCGCAGTCCTGCAGAGTTCAGCTCCAACCCTAATTAAAACTCACCTGCCTGTAGCTTCCTAATAACCCTTCAGGCCATTTTTAGCTTGTTCAGGTGTGTTTGATTAGGGTTGAAACAAAACTCTACAGGGCTGCGGCTCTCCAGGACCGACATAGAGTATGTGTTTTAATACATTTTTGGCAATTATTACATATAGTCCTTTCTTTCTATGTCAGTTCTGAAATATTTCAGATGCAAATGTAACTAATGTAACTAATGTTACGGTTACTGATGAGGAGTAACAAAACTCATGATTAAAAAATGTTGAGTGTGTTTTTCTGAAAGTGTTCATGTGGATTTGCTTGCTGTCTTTGTAGTCTCTGTTTGATAGCCGTGTTAAGTTAGATTTCAAGGACAGAAAGTGTCTGTGTTGACAGATCCTATAACATGGATCAATGGTTCAGAACGCTGCTGTCAGTTTAGATGGGTTTTACCTGCAGCAGAGCCACTGCAAATCTGCTTTGTGTTCAGTTCAAACCACATACAGGTACGTCAGACAAACGGACAGGTGTGCTTTTCTGAGCTTATTCATTTTATTTTGTTATATTATGATTCATTTTAATATTATTTATATTAACTTGTATATTCATTTGAATTGATACATTATGGTTATTTTCATTTCCAGCCTCTTTATCTTATATCTAAGTCAACATGTTTTTGCAACCAATTTTATTTCCATATGTGAAGTAAACTTTAAATTAGTGCTGTCAAACGATTAATCGTGATTAATCACATCCAAAATAACAGTTTTTGTTTACATAATATATAGTATATGTTTGTGTGTAGTGTATATTTATTATATAAATGCAAACACATGCATGTATATATTTATATATTTATATAATACATATATTTGTATATAATATAAAATATAAATATATAAATGTATATACATATAAATAGCTTCAAAATATATACTGTATGTGTGTGTATTTATATACATAATAAATAAACACAGCACACACACATATATTATGTAAACAAAAACTTTTATTTTTGGGTGCGATTAATCGCGATTAATCATTTGGCAGCACTACTTTAAATATTGATGTCCAAGTGAAAAAGGACGCTCAACAAGAAATAATGAAAGGCGGGATTCATTATATACAGTACATTGGGAATTAATTGGACGACGAGAATGAATGTCTATATGACAGAAGGGTTTGTAATGTTAGCTGAAATAGAAAGTATAGTTTCAGAGGCAGAGCAGGTTATTGCACAATAAGACCAAGACTGCGAATTACGACATTTTGGCTTTAAAGTGCATATTTAATATGAAGATGAAAATAAGTTAGATCAACTTATTACCATAAGAACTATTAGCATGGGAATAGGCATGGTGATTGCACATTACACCTTTTTAGATGTCATAGCTGACACTTTTCTAACAAACCGACATGAGAGAAAATGTGGAATAAATACATGGGCACATGTTTTGGATACTAAGCACGGGTTATAAATAATTCACACAGACTGCCCTCCCTCTTTCTGTGTTCCAGCGGTGATGTCCCGCACCCATGTGGCACCGGGTGAAATGGGGAAGGCTGTGGTCATTCCCAAAGATGAGCAGGAGAAGATGAAAGAGCTCTTTAAAATCAATCAATTCAACCTTATGGCCAGTGACATGATCGCGCTCAACAGGAGTCTGCCAGATGTTCGGCTGGACGGGTGAGTGCGTGTGTGTGCGTGTGCGTGTGTGTGTGCGCGTGTGTGTGTATGTGTGTGTGTACAGACAAATGCTCCATGATCACATTAATGACACTAATCACAGGATCCAATCAGCGGCCACGGCAATCTCAACAACACAAATCAACATTCATTAGGAAGACAATGACAAGAAACACAAATATAATTTTTATGTTTCTTTTTTCATTTATAATAAGCAATAATTTGTTATCCTCATACAACATGGTATGTGAAGGTTTTGTGGCTACACTCTTAAAAATAAAGGTGCTTCAAAAGGTTCTTCAAGCGATGACACAGAAGAACCATTTTTGGTTCCACAAAGAACCATTCAGTCAAAGGTTCTTTAAAGGGGTCATATGGTGCTTTTTTAAAGATCATTATTTGGTGTATTTGGTGTAACAGAATATGTTGACATGCTTTAATGTTCAAAAAACACATTATTTTTCAAATACTGTACATTATTGTAGGTCCTCTATGCCCCGCCTCTCTCAAACGCTTCGTTTTCTACAAAGCCCCTCCTTCCGACAAGCGCAGTCTGCTCTGATTGGCCAGCTGACCAGTGCATTGTGATTGGCCGAACACCGCAAACACTCGTCGAAAAGTAACTTCCCTTACCGTAATCGCAGCTTCATCTTTCAAAATAAATGCAAAGACAGTAAATAATGTCATTAGTTTTACCATCAGTTCAAGCCCGAAAGGGGAACAGAGTCACGTGACAGACACAGTGATGAAGCTGGTATATGTTTGCAGTACACAAGCCACGGTTAAGACAGCTGACTCCACTGTGATGTGACC